GGTCCTCAGAATATGAATATCGCACACGGTATTGTGCTATTTTTCAGACTCCTTGGAAAATGCAAGGGGAACAGGACAAGGATACCTTGAATTCACATCACATCTTCCTGGGAAAGCGCTCAAATAATCTGCGAGACTACAATTCATCCTACAGAATGGGGAGGAAGGCCCGTCCTCCCTGTTTGAGAAAAGGAGCCCCACCTCCAGAGGTGAAAAAAAAAGTCAGAGTGAAAATCGTCCATTGCTGGGTGCTTCTCAGTGGGGCTGCCTCTGCCCGGCCATCACATAATGGAGGCCCCTTTAATAAATAAATGAGAACGATCTTCTGCAGGTTAAGTTCAGCAAATCACACTCTGTAATTACACATATAGATATCAGGAAAGATCTCGGCTGACAATCAGGTCCATCTCTGGCTGCAGGACAGCCACCCCCACACACCTCTGCTACGCATGATTGGCCTTTTCTCTAAGGAACCCATGCCCATTATCATTTATACCGCCAGCCAGGAGCCGTGTCCACCCATGCCAGGAGAGGAAGACACAGGCCAGGTAAGTTCACCAACTTACGTGACCATCTGAGATCCCTCCCCACCCCGGGCCAGGCTCTGCCCATCTCTCCATCCCATCCTCCTGGTAGAACAGGAGACCATGGCCCACCCTCTACTATTTGACACATGCCCTGCAGTTCAGGTTACACTGCTGAAAGCTGCCTGCCCATAGTCTCATCAGATGAACCTGTGCAAGGTCACAGAGCTTGTCCACGGAGGAGCCACGCCTTGCTCCCACCCACAGCCTGACTTGCCCCCTTAACCTCTTGATGCTGCGCTGCTGGGACAGTCCAGCACCAGCGCTCGTGAGCACCGGCCACACGCCAGCACGGTGCTGAGAGCTTTGCCTCTTCTGCCTTATTCAATCCTCCCAACCCAATGACGGGGTTGTGGGCAGGTTATTTTTGTCCTCCTGTTTTATACATGAGAGAAAAAGGCACAGAGAGGCGCAGCGGTGAAGGAACACAGGAAACTTGACTGCAGAAACCACCATGCCCCACTGCTTAGACCTGGGTCATCCCTAATAGGCCAGAAAGGTGTGACCTAGACCTGTCCCTCTTGGAGAAAGGAAGGTTAGCGGGATGTCATGGGTGTAAGCGAGCCTCTGTGGCTGGGGGGCCTACCTGTAGACCAGGAGGGCAGGAAATAAAAGTTGTGACAGAGATAATAACAGGGGTGGTGATGCAGTGCTGGTGAGGGTGACGGTGGTGACGATGATGAGACGATGATGAGAATAATACTGACGACGAAGCTAGCACTTATTACATGCCATAAACTGTGTCAACCCCTTTCCACAAAAACCACACAAGTTACTGTATTTCCCCCACTTTGCAAATGGGAAAACGAAAGGATCAGAGGTTAAGCACGTTGCCTAAGCTCACACCTGGAGTCAGCAGACCTGGGATTTTAATCCAATTTGCTGTGACTCTGAACCCGGTGACTAACCTCTCTGTGCCTACTACACACAGACCCAGGGAAGTCCCACCTTGTTTCATTACGCATTTTCAACACCTTTCTAGCCTAATCTGAGTCCAGGGAGGTGGGAATGGGTGCCCAAGAGTACAGGAGCCAGAAACACAGATTCCCTGGCTGGTCAGTGAGGGAACCTCGAACTTGAACCTGGTCTACCTGGTTCCGAGGCCAGGAAGCAAGCACAGCCCCAGCTGGGAGTGGAAGCCACGGTCCAGGCCTCAGGAGCCTGGCTGGCGAATGACGGCGGGCATGGCGGTATTGGGGAGCAGAGAAGGTGGCAAGGACAGCGAGTGAGTGGAGGGCACCTATTTTGGGGAGGGGTGTGTGTTCCGGTGTGCATGTGTTGGGCGGGGGGCAGTTTTCAACCAAGGCAATCTGCCTGCTTCACTGATTTTACCAGAACTGTGAAAACTGTTGGCTATTCCTCTGCAAGAAGCAGCAAGAAGGAACAAAACAAACTAATTTGGAGATTAACTGACCTGTTTTTGCACCTACATTTCCACAAAACAGGAGAGCTTGTTGAAATGATCACAACCCCATGCCGTACATGAGAGCACTTTCACAGACACGGCTCAGGCACACAGTCCCACAGACTCCCGGGGGCTTGCCACCCCCTTTTACAGATGAGGAGGTTGCGGCTCACAGGAGCAAAGCCCTCATCTCCACACGCCTGTGGGAAGCAGAGGCACAAGGACTATCTGCATCTGACCCACCGGGAACCAGAGCAACTCAAAGATTTCCCACTTCCCAGAAAGGAATGACAAGGAGGGCCTGGCTGATAACTGCTCATTAGACCTGCAGCAGGGGCCTCAGGGGTGCTGCCGAGCGGGCACCAGGGTGCCATGGTGGCACACAGGAGCGAAAGACAGGGCCCCTCCTCCAGGACATCCAAGCCAGCTGGACCAGCAGCTCTAGGCAAATAAGCCACCGCAACGCACATGAGCATATGGGCCAGTGCTGGACATCCGGGTCAGGGAAGGCTGGCGACCATGCTGGCCGTGGATCCAGGTATACCAGGAGCAAGTTCTCGGTTCCCTCATTCCCATCAGGGGAATCTGGAAACCAATTCCTAAGTGCTGGATTTTAAATGGGGAATTAATGGTACCTACCACATAGAGTTGTCATCAAGATTAAATGAGATTCATGAAAATAAACTTCCTAGCACGGCACCCTGTACAAAGCCATAAACGGGAGTCGTTATTAGTATTTATGGCGTGCAGTCCTCATTCACCCAGATTGCGGGGAACAGGCAGAGCACCTGTAACCAGGGGCTGGCGAGAGAGGTCCTGCCCGGCTGGAGCCCAGCGGTTCCCAGGCCGCAGCCACACTCCTGCAGTGGCCGCGCAGCACACAGCCGCCCAGACATGAGTTACTCACTCCTCGTCCTCCCAGTCCCCAGCCACCCATCTCCGGGAGGCAGCTTGCTTTCCCGACTTGCGAGCTGCTTTCTTTTGGCAGGGAGCTGCTGCCGTCTGCGCTATGGACCGTAAAACAAGTTTTCATCAATAAATTAAGATAAGCGGAAAGCTAGCTCAGAAGGAGGCGGGCTGAGGCAGGCAGGCGGGTGGGCGAGAAGTCACTCTGTGACCCAGAAGGGACCACAGTGATTCCAAAGCAAGACTGGGGCTGACAGGCTCCTCTCCCTGGGCTCCAGGGGTCCCACTGGACCTGTGCTTCTCAGAGAGGGGGCACTCAGGTCACCATGCCTCTCTCGGGTCCCGTTCTATCCCTCGAGGCGGATTAGTGTCAGTCACAGGTAAAGCCAGGTCTCAGCAATACCCTGAGCTGAAATAATGATCCCTATCACTGCATTAGACTAGCTAAATCTAACCAGACACTTGCCTGCCCAATCACTAACACTAGTAAGCAGCCTCTAAAAATAAAATCGTTCTCACAGAGCTTCCGCACGCCTCAGTGTGAACCCCCAGGCCCCCCAAATGCACCTTCCACACCTCTCCATGTCTTGCTCACAGCATCTCCCCCACCCAAAAAGTCTTCCTCTTTTCACTGTTCTCAATCCAACCCAGAGCCTCCAAGGCCCTATTGACAACCCACCTCCTCCCCCAGGCTGGCCAACCCCACCCTGCCCCCACCTAACCCCCTGCAGCGGCTCTATCTGACCACCTCAGCCACAGAACCTCTCCCACCTGGCCAGTCCTGACCTCTGCTGGCATGTGTCCGGCCTACACACAGCTGCACGGGCAGGCAGCTCCCTCCACCCCTCTCTGTGCATTTCCCTGGCATCAAGCTCAGTGGGGGGCACAGAGAGGCCCTTGTTTACCAACAGCTAGGTATCGACTGAGTGAGCCCAAGTGAAGGAGGGATGTGGGACACAGGCTAGGTAAGTTTCGGCTCAGCCACAGGCAAGCCTCCCCACCCCTGTGCAACGGTACACAACCCTCCAGTCCCTGACGCTCGTAAATAGGCCGGAGCATATGGCAGGAGAAGGGCCATCTGTCTGTCCACCACCACACACGGAGAGGCGTGCAGCTCTGCATATGCTATGAGTTGATGGACAGAGCGGCGTGATGAACCCCAAATGGTCCACACACTGGCCACATGCTGGGAACAGCCGGGAATCGTGGGCGAGTCGATTCACCCCTCCGAACCTCAGTTCCCCCACCTATAAAACAAAAGGTTGAACCTACTAACATGCCAGACCCCTTCCAGCCCCAAGGTCCCAGGATCCACTTCTGCTCATCCTCACCTGGCTGTGTGAGAAGTAAGATGACAGCACCTGGTCCACTTTACATGATGGCTCAGGGCTGCAGGGCCACCCATGAGCTGGGAGGCTGGAGCCCACCCTGTGTCGCTAAGAGTGGCCCCACTTCCCTCGGGGAAGGGAAAGTGTCAGGCTGGGCCTGAGAAGTGTTGTGTAATATACCCTCATCCCCTTGTGTGGTGACATCGTGATCCAAACCCCCCAGGTAAGGACATGGGAGGCTCAGAGATGAGACTGCTCAGGGTCCCACGGTCAAGGCCAGTTCAGCACCAGGCCTCAGGAGCCAAATATTTAAATACACCCAAGCAGAGGGAGCCGCGGGCAAGGTTTCAGACGACAATGATATTAATCAAGGCTGCTAATTAAACCCCACCCTGGATATAAATCAGAATCGATTCACTTCTGAGTTGGGGCGCTTCCCATACCTGGAAGGAGCAGAGTCATGGGAGGCCTTTGAGCAAGTCCAGGCTGGGGGGCGGCCTCGCTCTAAATCAGATCCCAGTGGCCTTCCCCCTTCCCCTCCACACCCACTCCTACACCACACACACTCACGCGCACACACATACGCACACGGATAAGCACTCCCTCCACCCAGACCTAGAGGACAGTGATGCCATTTTATAAAGGGCAAACAGGAGGAAATAACCTGTATGTTAAATTGTGAGCTGGCAGGTGGAGCTGAGAACAAAGTTCAATGAACGGAACAGAAACATATTGACAATAGCAAAAGAAACAATTACTACGCATTTTCATATGAGATCCTGAGGAATAAATTTGCTCTTGCTTTTGCTTATTCAACAGAAAAAGAAAAAAAAGAGCAGTAGCCAGGCAGGGTGAAGAGACAGCAGAATGCAGACGCTTGCACTTTGTGGCTCATCATTTCCCTTAAGCTCTCCAAAGAGTGGGAGATACAGGCCGGCACAGGAGTCAGAAGAAATAACATTGTGAGTGGAGAGATTTAGGGGTGCTGTCTCCACAAAATAGACACCCTCAGATTAGCACGGAGAGGAGTTGCTCCCATCCACGTGGCAGCTTTGCATCTTTGGAACTAGACATCACTAAGAGAGAGAGAGAGAAAATATTTTACTTGGAGATGGGACCTTTAAGGTTCGTGGCTCCGGCTGCTCAGGGGGCTACAGTCTGGCTTCATCTCAGGAAGACTCTCTTTTGCAAAAGCGAACTCCAAGACAGTCCTGTGGGAAGGGGTATGATCCCATGTAAGAGGTTCAACAGTCTTGCATGATAACATGCGATCAGTCTCCGGGCATGATCTTGTGAACACGGGAAGCACAGGACTCGGGTGGGGATCTTGCCTCCTGCACCAGGAGCACCAGGATGGTGGTCACGGTTCAGACCTCTTTTTCCTTGGAGTCACATGCACTCTGAACAGCGTCATCTAGATCAGCGTGTCCGTCCAGTCTCCTGAAATGTGCTTCTCCACGTGTCCCCTATGTTGGGGACATGTTCCTCCACCTATTGTTCCACCCAGGACTTAAAACTTGGCTCTGTGGCCAGCGGTTAAGGGTGAGGCTCTGGAGAAAAGGCCTGGGTTCTGAACCCCAGCTTTGCCCCTGACAGGATGGAACCTTGGGCCAGGTGACCTCAGTGACACCGACTCCGCCTCTGTAAAATGGGGGTATTAATGCTATCTCCCCAAAATACATGCAGTACTTACTTACAAGGTTGTTGTGAGAATTAATCGGATAAAACGTCTAAAGCTTTTGAACAAGATCACGGCCTAAATCAGAAATGTTCACTACCACCATCATCACTGTGACCCTCATCCATCTCAAACCCTTCAGCCACCTCCCTGCAAATCTCCTGCACCCACCCCCTGTACTCCCACAGGGCAATTGTTGGCCTCCTCTCTCTGGCCTGAGCGCTGGGAAGCATCCCACTTGGCACCCCCCTCGTTCTGTCACCACCACAATGGAAACGCTCCCTGGAGCACAGAATGCCTCCTCTCCCAGGCCCTGGGGGCTCCTGCAGCCCAGGGACACCACTGGAACCCCTCAGCACGGTGCTCATCTGAGACTCACAAGCTCCTCTCTTCATTACCATTATGCTGCCACCCCTACAGTCCAGGGCACTCGTCCCACACCTTGGGCTGCATGCGCCTCCACTGGCTCTTCCCCCACCAGCCATGCCCTCCCTCCACCTCTTACCACTGGGGATTGCCCATCCTTCCCACAAAGGGTCTGTGGCCTCGGCCCGCCCTGCCTTCCACCTCTGTGCACCAGCAGCACCTGCCACCTTTCTCACACCCCTCAAGACAGTTTGCCCTACAGATGTTCAGTCCTTGCTGGTTTTGCCAAAGTCACTGTCACTTCCATCTCCTACTGTGCCTCACACAGAGCAGGCTTTCAGGAGATAGTTTTTAAGTTGAACTCTGTGTGAGACAGGAAGCTCCCGCAGCATGGGACTAAGACGGTACCACTTGTTCTGTGCAGCACCCAGCGGGTACCCCTCGGAAAGGATACCTCCACTTATGCTGTCAAGGACCATAAGGGTGAAGCAAGCCCCACTTCCATGAGTACCAACTTCACCCAATTCTTCAGTGGCACAGAAATGTTGTCATATCAAATGCAGCTACGTCCTCATCTCGACCCCAAGGCATGTGATCGCAGGGACTATGTGCCTCTTCTGTGTGGCTCATTCATGCCCTCATCTTGCTTGCTTTCCACAGTCATGATTAAGCATAAACTACACCAAGAACCATGTTCAACAGTGCTGAGACCTCCCAGGACCTCAGGGAGTTCTGAGGGGCTGCCCGACTGACTGCCTCAGGCACAGGCTGAGCAGCCCCCTCTCTGGGCTCCAGCTCACACATCCACTTGCCTTCTGTCTTATTACCTCCGCTTGGATGCCTCATGGCGTCTCACACTTGCAAGGTGCACAATGGAAATGCTGGTGCTCAAGCCACAGAACTCAACAGTCACCAGTGACTCTTTGCCCTCCTTCGTGTCCCACATCATCCACCAGCAAGTCCTGCCAGTTCTCCCTCCAATTTCTATCTCAGTCCTCCATTTCTCCCCATCACCCCTGCTACCACCATCACTTCCTGTTTCCCAGCTGCCACTCCTGCCTTTCTACAACCCATTCTCCACAGAGCAGCCAGATGGTCCCAGCCCCGCCCGTCATTCTCCGCATTTCCAGTGGTCCCCCTTCACATGCAGAACAAACCCCAAGTCCCTTCCCATGGCCTACGAGACCCCCACGATCTGTCCTCTGCCTCCATGTGTCCTTTGTCCAGAATGTTCTTCCTCAGGTAGTCACATGATTGTTCATCCCTACCTTTCAAGTTTCCCTTGCTTCCTTCCCATCTTGTATGACAATCTGTTATTACTCTGTTTGTTTATTGTCTGTCTTCCCTACTAGAATGTGAGCTCCGTGAGGTTAGAGATTCCTGACTTGTTCCCTGTGCATTCCCCACAGTGCTCACTGTGGAAGGTACATGGCAAAGGCTCCACCCAATCTGTGGAAGGGCAGGGTGGAGGGAGGGAGGGAGGAGCCCAGGACGTGGAACTCCTGTCCCAGAGAACTTCCCTCTAGAATGGCATTTAGTGTCTATGGATTCCACTGCTCAGGCACCACCAAGATCCTGGGAATGATAGCAGGGCGCTGAGTTGCAGCACAGAGAAAATGCTGCAGGATGTGAAAGCTTTGACAAGTAAGAACAAGAAGGAACATGGACTATGATGTTAACAGACTCACGTGAGTTAAAACCCCTGCCCTGGCTGTGCAACCTTAGGGAAGCACCTTAGCCTCTCTAGGCCTTAATTTCTCGTTTCCAAAACAGAGGCAGCAATACCAAATTCATAAGCTGCATGAGCACAGTGCCTAGTAGAGAGTGGACACTCACATACAATTCTCTTTCTCCAAGGATGTGGGGGTTCAGAACCACATACTCTTTCTAATTACACATGTCCATGCTCCTGCTCCCCAGATAGTGGGATGCCACGGTGTCACCACCACTTATTTCTCAGCCACCTCATCTAGGATCTCACCTAAAGGACAAGAGGCAGTGGGGGGGCATCTACAACACTCTGGCACAAGCGCTCAGAATCCACTGAATATCTACTGGGAGTCGCCAAGGGAAGTCTGCTCCCAGCCCTGCCCATCATTCTCTACAAGGTTTGGGAGAAGATCCTGGGAGCAGGCACTCGGCTGCAGGGCGGGGCCGGGGGCGGGGGTGGGGGGGCACAACCTGGTGTTTTTCAACACTGCTTGAGTCCTAGGGTTGCCCCAAGCTCCTTGCAGCCTTAGTGGGAGGGGGGAAAGGGAGGATAAGAACCAACTTGCCTAATAACTTGTTTTCAAATGCCAAACAGCAGCTCAAAACCCAGGGAAGGGGTCAAGGCTCCCTCTGTCCTTAGTCAGTCCCTGAAGGAGATGACAATCTACAATGCCCAAGCCAGGAATGCTCACTGAGGTCTCTCCCCCTCTAGGAGGAGAGGGCACCAGGGAAATTTCGAGCCCCAGAATATCTCCTTAGCTGGGGAGGACATATCGTGGGCCACAGAACTCAGCACTCAGACACAACAGGAATCTTGCCAAAGTGCTCCCTTCCAAACCCCCAAAGCCTGTGGGCTGGGACACCAGGGAGCAAGTTCAGCCCAAGGCAGAGTCAAGCTGCACCTGCAGATGGCTCAGCTCTCAACTAGCCCTTTGGACCCTGTCCTTGCCAAGACTATCCCAGCATCCCTCCCCTCCCTGCCCCTCAATTACTCCTTCTGCAATGGCTTTTACCCTGCCATTCCCATGCTCAGGAGCGGCACCAGCTCCCACTGCCCACAGGAGTCCAAACCCTCCGGCCTGACAGTCAAGGTCCCGCATGAGCTGGCCGCAGGCTCATCTCCCGCATATGCCACCGTGAGCCATTTCACTCCAGCACCGTGGAGCGGTGTGTTCCATCATCGCCAAGCACCCCTTGCTCGGGCCAAGCCTGTCTGGAAGACCCCCTTCTCCTGACTCACCCCACACGACCACTAAGATCTTCCTCCTTCAGAGGTATCTTGCTCTGATGAAGAGCATAAAAAACCCCGAAGAAATAAAATCCAATGCTCTCCATTTCTGGGCACCTGCAGCCTAAGTCCTCTGTCCAAAGTCGCCTGACTCGTCACCCTTGGTGGTTAGAAAGGAGCTGTTGCAGCAGGTAAAAAGGCACTCGGATGGGGACCGTCAGCAGGCTAGTTCCGGAAACCCTGCTCAGATGCCAGCAAGAGGGGAGATGGGAGGCAGCAGCAGAGGGGCCTGGCTTTTAACAAGAGAGCTTGTTGGGGATAATGTATTCCCGCAGTGTCTCAGCGGGTTTCAGCTAGTTGAGTCTATAATGGAACAAGCAGTCACTGTTGTTCTTGGATGCCACGGCTCCGTGACGGGGGAGTAAGCGCCGCAGAGACAGCAGCCATAAAGCAGAGAACAGCCCATGGGAGGGGACACTCCGCAGGGACCAGGTTTTACAGTCCTAGAAAGAGGAGGTTCCAAGAAATCCAAGAGCGTGGACTATGAATCACAGGGGGAAGTAGAGTTGGAGCCCCAGCTCAGGGAAGGAAGGGGTCAGACTTGGAGGAGAAAGCCAGGCCAGAACCCCAGGCACTTGAAGGGGAGGGGCTGGCAGCAGGGAACTACCTAACATTGGCCCAGAGACCCTGGTAGGCAGGGCTAGAGACCTACTCTTACTCTGCACAAAGGGTGAGGCACTGGGTAACCTCCGGGGAAGTGCTCTGCTTTTACTTACAAAAGTCCCTGGGATCGTGGTGGGCCAGGGTCTCCTGACTCAGACCACAGAGGAAGTGGACAGATGGGGACTGGTACATGTTGCCTGCTTGGCACCTTTCGCCAACTCACCCCTGATATTGAGCAAAGCCAGGTTCCCTGGGCCTAAGCTACTTCCCGAGGAGAGGTCTTTCTCTCCTCATTAACTAAAGGGCAGTCCCAGAACAGTCCTCCCTGTGGGACAGCCTCATCCGAGAGGGTCACACAGCAGGTCCAGTCTGCACTTCAGGAACTGGCCCTCCTTGCATGGACCTTCTGGAAGTCCAGCCCCAAGTCAGCTGCGGCTCTGCTTCAGGCAATGCGGAGTGGTCACGGCTTTGGGGTTCTTCTACGGCCCCCCTAGAAGAGTTAACTGGCCTCAAAGTCAAGATCAGGGGCGCCGCTAGGGAGCTTATCTGACCTCCTGAAGGGATTAGCACCTGGCTCAAGAAATGCCAATCAGCCAACAGGGCCGAATTTAACCTCGGCTATCCCTCCCAACCCTCGCCAGGGCACTCTCAAAATCGACAATTACGCTAGAGGCAGCTCTCGCTACAGCTCGTCATCGACTATTTATAACCCATTCGCCTTCTGGGGGGAACTAGACACCTCCCATCACAGTGAGGAGCAGAGTACCAGGCATGTGGCCTTGGCCTCAGGGACCCCTCTGTGCTGGTCTGCTCCTGCCAGGACCCTGCAGGAGCACCTCCTCCCAGTTCCCAGTGGCTCTGCCCAGTCACCTCACTCAGCAGGGTCTTACGCCTCCTGTGAAGACCCCAGACCTACCATCGAATGCAGCTCAACTCCTCCGATCTCTCCTACCAGCTCACCCATAGGACTCAAGACCTGACTGTCTCACTCTGCCAGCCGCTGGCTCCCTCAACAGCTCTCTTCCCGCTTTTTTATTGTTAAATCACCTCCCTGGCTCCTGACAACCCAACAAATCTGAAGAACCGGCAAAACCACAAAAGGGGTGGGAGTGGGACACTTATGCAAATAAGCCTTGAATGGGGAACAGGTCTAGTCCCAGATGCAGGTCTCCCCACCTTCAGTAAAAGATGTGGGTGAATGAACAATAAATTGTGGTCCATCCAGACAGTGGAATATTATTCAGCACTGAACAGAAATTAGCTATCAGGCCATGAAAAGACATGGGGGAACCTTAAATGCATATTACTACATGAGAGAAGCTAGTCTGAAGAGGCTGCATACTGTATGATTCCAACCATAGGACGTTCTGGAAAAGGCAAGACTAGGGAGACAGTAAAAAGATCAGTGGTCACCAAGGGTTAGGGGGATGAATAGGTGGAACACAGAGGACTTTTAGGGCAGTGAAAGTACTCTATATGGTTCTGTAATGGAGGATACATGTTATTACACATTTGTCCAAATCCACAGAATGCATATCAACAGTGAATCCTAAGGATAACTATGAACTTTTGGCTATGATGTGTCAATGTAGGCTCACCCTTGGTTAA